TCACAACTCCATCCCGTCTGGGACTATTCTAGAAGTTTTTCCTTTATTTTGTATTCTCTATTTTTAGAAACAGCTTTAGTCCTCATTTGTGAATCTATCAGTGTCGTTTAACCATTCGTTCGATATTTCGATTCGATCTTTTCGTGAGAGGTTATCAAGTAAAACCTGTGATTGCTTTAATGGGCAGTCGAGAGCCCCACCCCCACCCACCCCCACCCCACACATAAACCAGCCTGATTGTGACTGAGTTTACTTTTGTAGGCTGTACTTTGTAGACTTAGGCTACATCGTGATGATGATGTTAACCAACCCACATCGTGATGTTGATGTTTACCAACACACATCGTGATGTTGATATTTACCAACCCACATCGTGATGTCGCGGCTAACCAACCCACATCGTGATAGTGAAGATAACCAACCCACATCATGATGTTGAGTTTAACCAACCCACATCATGATGTTGAGTTTAACCAACCCACATCGTGAAGTGTTAGGTTAACCAACCCACATCGTGATGTGTTAGGTTAACCAACTCACATCATGATGTCGAGGTGAATCAACATATCATGATGTTGAGTTTAACCAACCCACATCGTGATGTTTTATGTTAACCAACCGACATCGTGATGTCGAGGCTAATCAATGAGTCCTTCAGGCTTCACTAAACAGATCATTTTAGACACGAAAACACGAAAGATATTGGACATAACAAAATATATGAAAACACGAAAGATATCGGAAAACACAATAGGTTTCGGAAAACACGAAAGATATCGGAAAACACGAAAGATATCGGAAAACACGAAAGATATCGGAAAACACGAAAGATATCGGAAAACACGAAAGATATCGGAAAACACGAAATATATCGGAAAACACGAAAGATATAAAAAAAAAACACGAAAGTACGAAAGATATCAGAGAGTACGAAAGATATCTGAGAGTACGAAAGATATCAGAGAGTACGGAATATATCAGAGAGTACGAAAGATATCAGAGAGTACGAAAGATATCTGAGAGTACGAAAGATATCAGAGAGTACGGAATATATCAGAGAGTACGAAAGATATCGGAGACTTCAAAAGATCTCCAGTTTTAAAAATGTTAACTTTAGATTGTATGATTGTTGAGGTGTTGTAAGATTGTTGGTGTTGTAAGATTGATAAGCTGCGAGATTGATATGTTGTAAGATTGATGTGGTAAAATTGAAATGTAAGATTTTTGGTGTTGTAAGATTGTTGGTGTTGTAAGATTGATGTGGTAAGATTGAAATTTTGTAAGATTGTTGGTGTTGTAACATTGATATGTTGTGAGATTGATCAAATATTGTACCTGTTTCCTTTCCATGAGCTGTTACGAAGACCTTTCTTTAATGCTCTTGACATCGAGAACTTGTCCTCTGTACTATGACCTATAAAAGACCTGTCCATTCTACTTATGACCTCTAGAAGGCGTATCTTCCTCCCCCCCCCCACCCCCCAGAGGAATGTATGTTCCCCGGGGGAGTCTGGAAAGCCGCCGGAAACAGAATATGCTAAATAACCGATTATATATAATCTTGTGTATTCGATCCCACAAGCATTTATCATGATTACTTAATAGCATTGTTGCCATGGTATCGCAAGATGCGATACTCGCCTTTAATGTTTTAAGATAAATCAGACAGGAATATGTAGTTTGTCTTCTGGAAAAAAAACAGATAAATTTAGATAACGTTTCCGCCACATTCCTGTTTGATCACATCCTAAGTTTAAAAAAAAAATCTCTAAATGGATTTTTATTTAAGATTCATGGCCAACCAAATATATATTTTTAGCAGAAAAATTTAAAAATTTTAAATTGAGATATTTTTCCGGCTCGATTTGTTTTCCGTTTTTCTGGAACTTTACGAGTGGTATTTGTTGATGAAAATATTGTTTAAGTTCAGCATCGATGTGTTTTAATTACTAATGAAATGTAAATACGAACAGAGCTAGGAAAATAAGAAGATTAAAATTTAATAAAAAATATCTCTGTAAATTTTTTAGCCACGAACATTTTTGTGCGCCGGAGGACGCCATCGTGTCTGGTAGAGTTGTGTTTCTTGATGGCGGGTCGCTTCCCTTGGAGCTGAGTTCACTCGCACACAGTTTTCAGGGGTGTGGTTGTCTGTGGTTAATGCGCGTGATTTGTGAGTACCCCGTTTCGATACATTTTTTTAAAATATTACTATTTATAGTTGAGAACCAATCGATCACCAATCGGGTCGTTACGTTACGGATGTGATCTATCGACTAGTGTATAGATCGATAGGTCAAGCAGGTTGTTGTAGGTGAGGCGACACGTTGACAAAAATCTCGTCTTAAATTTGTATCGTCTTTTTTTTATTAGGGCGTGTGGTTTACAACGATTTAAACTATTTTTCATACAACAGCTAAACTATCATTCAAACGATAAATTGGTCTACACAATATTTAACTTGTCCTTCATACATTAGTTAACATAAATTTTAGGCTGTCCTAAAACAACTAAATTAGTTCACCAACAAAACTGTGAAAAGGATGATAGTTAGGCCTACACGTGAGGATGTTGGAGGCTTTGAAAGTTGAAGCTGTAGGGGAACTTGATGGTTGATGGCTGCAGGCAAACTTTGGGGGGGGGGGGGGAGAGGGGGGGGGGGAGCGAGATGGGAGTATTGTGTAGTGATGGCGACAGTTTAACCAAAAGTTCATTTGAATGTTGAACTAGTTTAAAGCAGCAGACCGACCTATATGTATAAGATATGACGTCAACACAAGTACACCTATACTAAACATACCAGCATATGAACATAGCCTAGAGACGTGTTTTAAAAACTTTAATTAACCTACAAGTTAATTACAAGCAATCAGCAGTAACTACCTGCTAATGTCGTTATGTTAAAGTATTTAATTTTCACCAGGTTAAAAAGACATGTAGATCAAAGCAGTTCATTTAAATGTGGTCAGACAAATATACATGAGGGTTGGACAAAACGTGATGCAACCGTCCTGGTTGCTGGACATCTAGTTCAACTGGTTTCATCAACACACAGTCACTAATTAAAACAGAAATGTTGTATCGATTTAAGATGGGATAAGCTACAGAACACATGAGCTAAAGAATGAGCTTAGCAACACAAAATGATAGCTAAACAGAGTACAACGATGTTTTAAAAAGAAACACAGATGAGCTTAATAATACGCAAAACACGGGTATGAGCTAAATATAGCGACTAACAATACACACAGATTTATTAAAACAAAAAGCTATTGTATGTCTGATGAACTGTTAAGCATATAAGCATGTACATCAATTAACGCATATATAAATGAGATAATCAGCACATAAATAATCATCACATAAAGTTAGGCAATCAAAACATAAGTAAATGAACTAATTAACACATCGACTACACAAGCGTGCACTGTAAGTAGATCGATAAATGCTCACTGTGTGTCTGTGTGCTGTGTTTCTAGCAAAGGTTAACTTATTGTGTCACATATTGTGTCGCATAATGTATCAAATACTCCTGTCACATACTGGTGTCACATAAGGTGTCACATACTGGTGTCACATACTGGTGTCACATACTGTGTCGCATATTGTGTCACATACTCGTGTCACATATTGTGTCACATATTGTGTCACATACTGTAATATATGGTCAAATGGTGTCAAATACTGTGTCACATATTGTGTCGCATGTAGTTACTTGTACCGACATATCTCAGTTTACTTTATATGACATATTCTATCTCATGTAGGACTGACATACCTTTACTTTGAATGACATGTTCTGTCATATCCTACATTTTGTTGGACCAACAGACCACATAATGATGTCATAAAAAATGGCGTCCCGCCTAATGACACAGAAATTGATTACTCTACTCTACAGTTTGTTTAAATTTGAGATATAATCAATTTTACCTGATAAAAAACAAGTTATAATCAATTTCACCTGTTAAAAAAAATCACATTCAATTTGAAATGAGATGGACCATAAAAACGGGATAATTAACTGTTAAATGCATTAGAGTGTCATTAAGACTGGAATTAAATGTTAAATGATTAAAAGAGTTTTGACAAGGGTTCGTTACACACATCTCAGTTTTTGATCCATTCGATTTTGTTGCAACAATACCGGTAGGATTGTCAATGGTTGTATGAAGACATTCACTTTTACAAGGCACCAGTGACTTCTATCAACCATACTGAGCCATGTCTAGGTTGTACTTTTTGTTTTGATTGTTTGCTTTTCTAGGTCTATAATGTAATTAAGTATTTAGCTAAACATAGATAGCAAGGACAATATGAAATTTAAGGGCATATATTGATTTACCAACAGCGCACTTTGACTAAGCTAACTCCTAGCTTGGCGTACCTACATTGTACCTTAAGAAACCTGCAACTTACCTTGATTTACTTACTACATATCTTGACTTTCCTACAGATTACATTGTGATACCTACAACTTACCTTGATTTACTTACTACATATCTTGACTTTCCTACAGATTACATTGTGATACCTACAACTTACCTTGATTTACTTACTACATATCTTGACTTTCCTACAGATTACATTGTGATACCTACAACTTACCTTGATTTACTTACTACATATCTTGACTTTCCTACAGATTACATTGTGATACCTACAACTTACCTTGATTTACTTACTACATATCTTGACTTTCCTACAGATTACATTGTGATACCTACAACTTACCTTGATTTACTTACTACATATCTTGACTTTCCTACAGATTACCTTGTGATACCTACAACTTACCTTGATTTACCTAGAGCGTAGGCCTACCTAAGCTAAGGGAGGTAATCGACTTAGCCTTGTGCCACAACACTATGCCAATATATCAAAACGGTCAGCCCTGACAGATTTTCTCTTGCATGGAGTCAAAGTTGGAGAGTCCAACTGTCACTCGTCTAGATCTCTGTACCGAATACATATTTGACGTTTGTATTTTATTTTTTCAGGTATAAGATACACACCTCCACTCACCCGTACAGGATAAACGTTTCCCAAACAGCTGATCGACGTGTGTCCTGCCCTTAATTGTGTACATCAATCAAATCTACAACTCTTTCAGACGCAACAAAGTCTGTCAGACGGGACTGTCTCACTTAAGACAGCTCAGCTGGACAACCTGAAATCTGCCAGTCAGATTCCTTAAATCTGACTGGTAAAAGACTTCAGACGACATCAAACGTCCTCAACCTACCTATCAACCTACCTATCAACCTACCTATCAACCTACCTATCAACCTACCTATCAACCTACCTATCAACCTGCAGTATCAACGAGTTATACCACACACTGATTTTTTCACTCAATGGATCTAAAATTTAAAATGACATCTTAAACAAACGGAAGCTTACTACAATGCTGTGATAGACATTTAGAATTGTTAGTGTTGTGGTAGATTTGTCTCTGTCAACAAACGGAAACTTTCTACAATGCTGTGATACACAAGACGATTGAGACTGTTAGTGTTCAGGTAAAATTGTCTCGACCCAGCGGCAGGCAGCAAAAGATGTCCTCACCATACAAGAAACTCCCCGCGAGTGTGGTGAAATCCATCGCTGAGAGGTTGAGTAAGTGTAACCTGACGCACGACTCCCTGGCTGTGAGGGGTGAGTACTGGATGCATGCTTTTGTTACATTTTGTCAACTCGTGCTATCTCGTGACCTCTCAGCCTCTCGTGTTCTCCCGTATATTCTCAGCCTCTCTAGTGACCTGTCTTCTTTTGTCGTATTATCTAGTGACCTCTCTCCTATCATGTCTATACTTCGGTTATATCATGGTTTATATATTCCACATACTTGTCTAGGGTTATATATCACCATAGGGACGGCGTGGTCTAGCGGTAGAGAGCTAGACTGCTAAACCGAGAGTTTCGAGTTCGAATCCGGGTTCAAATTAGCTCTTTACGTTAAGGAAAGTAAAGGCGGCTGGGCATAGTGGTGACCACACAATCCCTTCATATGCCGAGGTCAATGAATGAGATGAACTCTACTTCATCTTCCCCATGTGTTTTGGGCACGAACGGGATTAAGAAGAAGATATGTCACCATATGACATCTACCATATCTTCCAAGAATGTGGTAAGAAATCAGTCCATATTAAAACCTCGAGTTATCCAAAAGTAGTTAGACTTAAAATTACCTTCGTTCATCTTTGACTACGACATTTTTAACTTTAACTCCCGGTTTAACCAGGAGCTAATGTTCCATGTGAGCTTAGATCCACTTCCTGTTCTAACTTGTGAGCTTAGATCTCAGCGCTCCACATAAATCGTGTTATTTTTAGCTCTGTGGAAATTCCTAGAGAAGTTGTTATGTGTGTGTTTATTTGTGAGCGGCTCTAAATGTTTTTCCTACAGCCTTGAACCAACACGCGGATACCCCCCCCCCCACCCACGATTGATATAGAAGTCTGGTGGATGTCTCCTACCCCCCCCCCCCCCCCCCCCATTCCTCCAAAGCTGGTATAAAAGTCTAAAAGTCTGGAAGATGCCGACATTGATGTCTGACCAAAGCTAAAAAAAATGCCGACAGTAAAATTTGTAAGATCTTTAGTTGCGAATAACGAATTGTTTTAATAACTTCTATTTACAATAAAGTTTCCAATAGGCAGTCAAAGAATCACCACACACAGCAAACACATCAGACACCTCACAATTCTGCAACATTTGATTCCAACGTTTCCAGAACTTTAAGATTAAAACATCCCAATTCTGTTCCATAAAATCTATCTAAAACCTTAATTTGAAAAAAAAAATAACTGAACAATTTTTTTACAGATCTTGTAAGAGCTGCGCATTATCCCCCCCCCCCCCCCCCCCCCGTGTTCATTTGATAACCCCCGTCTCTAGATCTGTTTAGTTGCTTCATCACACGTTAATCTGCTTGACGGATTATCCATGAGCTCCCAGCTTATCCGGGAGAATCAAGATTGTGTTTTTGAGGAGTTTCGGGATAATCTCTGTTGTTGCCATCTATACTTACACATTGTCTTTTTGTTGAAGATCAGGATTGTCTCTGTTTTGTCGTGTAGATAATTTATTCAGCGTATATGTCGCGGTGCCAGCTTCTGTGCAGAAGGTTACAAAAATATGAATGCTATACGAGGTGTGGGTCACTAGCAATTAGACCCCACCCCATCGGTGATCTAATTAACACCAATCTCATGTGGCGCGTGTGAAATGTCAGGCCCTTGCTCTCCACATGTGGTTTATCTGCTGTCACGTCACTCTCCACATGTGGCCAACTGCTGTCACGCTACTCGCCACATGTGGCTAGCTGAAAACCCCAAAACCTCACCCAAAAAGCCACAATGAACTTTCTCTGGCTCTCCAAGTGAAACTGACCTGTAGACTTGAGACTGCCTGCTACCCCACAGCCACAGCAACACGCCACCTAACGGCTAAATTTGACACCCCGGGGAACCTAGCTGTAATGAGACGCTAATCCCCCCCCCCCCCTAACGCGCCGACCCCAGCTATCGAACTGTATACTAGACAATAAAACACACTTTTGGAAATTAATTGAAGCTGACGCAGTGACGCTCAAATTGGGTACATATTTTTCATGTCGGAGTTTTACAAGTTTCTTATTGTCATGGCTCGGTAAATAATACAAGTTGGCTTCTACATAAAAACCTCAATCTAGATTTCTTTATAGCTAGTACGGCAGGGTCAGTTGAAGAAAAAGTTGTATTTTAACGAGATTATGTCGTTTTCTAGCGACATTATGGCGTCAGTGTTTGAATTTAGTTTCTCTGTATGTACTAGTTTGCGTTAGAGTTATTTGGAATGGCTTTAAATATCTACGTATGAATGCTGTATAATTAAGCTAGTGAACTTTGCTTGCAGTAGTAGATTGCATGCTTGTGGGGGGGGGGGGGGGATTTTAAAGTATATGTTTTTGTATGACAAGGACTACACGGCTCAAGGTTAAGATGTTTGTAGCGAATTCTTGAAATATTTTAAGTTTGGATCGAGGGTTTTCTTTCCATATGGGTCCTGGTAATTTAGGGTTCTTGCTAAGGATAATTTCGTGAGAATGATGGTTCAGTTAGGATTAGGATTTAGGTTCCAGCTATGGTTCTTGTAAGGGTTAGGGTAGGGGGGGTGGGAAGTGACCCAGCGGCCAGCAACATGGGTGGGGGGTGTACCTGGTTCTACTCGGGTTTAGAGCATTCTTTGAGCAGGTTATGACGGGGGGGGGGGGGGGGGGGGGGTAGAGATAGTAAGAAACGTGGCAAACAATTTGCAGATTTCTCTAAACTCCACAGTTTATTTGCAGATTGCTTTAAATTATAAGTGACCACCCCTTCACCAATTCGCCAAATTTGTCAGATTTCTTACCTCATCCAAATTGTATTTATGAAAGTGCGTAAAAAGTACCTAAACTAATTACAACTGATAAATAACTAACATTAATTAATAGCTAATTCCTATCGATCTGCTGGGTGAGTACCTCATATGTGACAGGACAGATTGGGGGTGGGGGTCACACGTTTTTAGGACCAGACAGACTGAGTGGAGGCGGGGCCTTCAAAAGAAGTGTTGATGAAGAAATTGTTGGGGGCGATCAGGACCAAGGACAATATGGTTAACGTTCCCCAGGACAATACCACTGACGGCCACATAAGTACCATAGTACTCAAGGATGTCAGGGTGTTTGTTGTTTACATTTTATAACAAGCAAGGTCAGAGGTTAAATGTCACGGCTACAGTTGAAGGTCAGAATTCTCGCACGCAGTTCGCGTGACTGGTGGTTCACGTGATCGTCTGTCGCGTGGCATGTCACGTGATCGGCCAGCAATCAGAAATTTAACGCTAGAATCAAAGTCAGCCTTGACCCTTGAACCTCTGGCATCGACGTTAGGATTTTTTAGATTGTGCCAAACAGGATTAGCTGTCAATGGTTTGATCCAGGTGGGGATACAGACTTGATAAAGACAGACTTGATAGAGACAGACTTGATAGACAGACTTGATAGAGACAGACTTGATAGAGACCGACTTGATAGAGACAGACTTGATAGAGACAGACTTAAGACAGACTTGATAGAGACAGACTTGATAGAGACAGACTTGATAGAAGCAGACTTGATAGAGACAGACTTGAGACCGACTTGATAGAGACAGACATGATAGAGACAGACTTGATAGAGACAGACTTGATAGAGACTGAATTTATAGAGACAGACTTGATAGAAACAGACTAGACAGAGACAAACTAGACAGAGACGCTCTTGATAGAGACAGACTTGATAAAAGCAAACCGACACAAAGAAGACAAACTCGATAAAGACAGATTTAATTAAGACAGATTTATTAAAGACAGATCTGACTACGACAGACTTAAACAAGACACCCAATCTTGCTTGACTCTACAAGACTTATTTGATTTCAGACAAACACACACAAGACTTGATTATATGACTTCAGACAGCTACAAGTCTTGAATATATAAATACAAATTCACATGTTTAAATGTAATACTAAAGTAGCTGTACTTTTAAAATGGTTCAAATAAATATTCCCCTTTCAATTTAGTTTCCTCACACGTTGTTTTTGAATCTACAACACAAAGGTACAATGCAGATCAGACAAATGGCATCAATCTTTAGAGTACAGGGGGTGTTTTCATCTTCACTGTACCCGCTGACTTTTTATTTTCTCCCCAATGTTTCTATTCTACCAATGTTTCTAGTATTTAATTTCAACCTTTCAATTTGAGTTACCGCACTTTAAAATTCTAGAGTTACCGTTCTTTATAGTCTGGAGTAGCGGCCCTTGAGATGGATGCGAGAATCCACCATCTGATTGTAAACACTTGACTGGATGTTATGATCAGAGCTCACCTATTGTCAACATGACGTCATGGTCAGTTTCAATTTCCGCTGTTTTAGATTTTTGTTTATTTCTTTTTTAAAAATACAATCTGATCGCTAACCCAACATGCCACGATACATCAACTACAAACCTAACCATAACACTAATTCTAACTCTTAGACTAGGAAAAAGGTTTTATGGTATTATGTCTAATACAATCACGAAGCCCAAGATGCTAAATATTTCTTGTCTAACTACCCTTACCAATTAATTAGTTTACTGTATGTTAATTAGAACTAGAAACAGATACGTTATTAATCTTAAAACTTTAAATCTGAACATTTTTAGAAACCTATCCCAGATTTATTAAATGAAAGTTGAATAAAATGAGAATTAAAATAGTTCTGGAAGATTCCTGTAGAAACCTGACCCAGCTCTGATAACATTAAGTGATTAGCCCGTGCCGCACCGAGGGTGAAGTGTCGTGACGTCATGATTCCAGACTAGACCGACGACCATCTTAAGTCGCCTTCGTATGGTAGTCACGTGACTAAACAGAATATTCAATGCCATTAGTCAAATGAGAAGAGGGGGAGGGGGTGGAGGGGTAGATAGAACATACTTGGTGGAGGGGGGGGGGGGTGGATACAACAAACTTTCTGGAGCAACAAAAAGGATTCAGTTTTACATCGAATATGATGGAGTGCATAGGAGCAAGGCCAAACACTGGCATAATTGGGAAAATCTTGATGCATTGATTGGTGGGAAAAGGGGGTGGGAGCGGTGGGC